ACCTTTAAAAATAAAAAAAGGTCCACGGTTAACACCTTAAGGACCATTTCCGTACCTTACAGGGTAATGTTTTGACAAATGTACCTTTAGGGAACAGAAATGATACCCTTATTTCTCTGTGTGAAGAAAACAAATCAAGCGTATTTCACAAAATATCGAACTATATAGTTAAAAACTCTGTTAACCTGTTTTATCAGGACTGTGTGGGTTTTGATTGATTGGATGTGATTGAAAGTCACCAAACAACCTACCAACTCTCATCAGATTCTATTCCTGATGCTCTATCTTGATCACTCGTGCATGCCCCTCCTGCATCAAACCAGTGAGAAGCCAAAAATGTTGAAACTTTGGTATAAAATAGTGTGTTAATGTAGGATCCCATTACCCATAATAAGATACTGCCTGAGGAAATACTTTTTCAGGGCCTTGAAGTGTTCTACTGGCTGAACTGGAGGCATCACTTTGTATTGGTATATGAATAAGTCTTCCCTGGGCTGTTGATGTGCCCTTAGCAAAGCCCTGAAACAATAAGGTTGCTGATTTCTTCACACAAATGAGTTTACAGGGTTATATGATGTTTTAACCAGGGATGTCCTGGAGGGTAAAACCATTACACTCCATCTGCATACGTTTTTAATTTAACAGAGTTTACTGCCATTTGTAGGATGATACGATCCATGTTGTTCCTAGAAAGTACTGTAAATCTGTTTAGAGTTACATGAAGATTTGTATGATAATCATAGTCCAGTATCTAACTATATATATACAGTATACACTTATGTACTATACACAATATATAATTGTGTTATATACTGTGTTAACCACTTAATAACTGGCTTATGTAACTGTATGATACATGAATATGGCTCTGAATGGCATTCATATAAATAAACTCTTGTCTTACTTAAACTCTTGACTCTTCCTTTTTGTCCAAATTTAGCAGGTCTCTGGCGGTAAAGATACCACAACAGATCTTTCATCTCCAACACTCGTGCTTGGTTACTGTTGCTATGCATGGTGGATCGTTGCCGTCACCGGTGCATCCAATCGGCATGTCGGCGCAGCCACGGAGTCTAAAAACAGCATTCTATATTACAGCATATAATGAGAAGGGCTTCATCAGTGTTCTCTCCAAATGTCAGAGCAGCTTTAATGATCTACTGAGCACACACACACACACACACACACACACACACACACACACAGAAGCTATATATCGCGTGCGAGCATGTGTGCAGTCACAGTGTGTGGCTCTTTTCTGCATTGTTTGCGTTTTCAGTAATCCCACCTTTCTGTATTTCCCTCTCTGCTATTAATTCTCTCGACTGAAGCTAAATTCTTTCCATCCTCCCCACTTCTGTCTTCCTCGCACCCTAATCTTCTTCCCTGTGACTTGAACTCGCCTTATCGTGATTATCAAACATGGCTTAAACAAAGAAGAAAGTTTTGAGTGCGCGATTGCTCCCCTGGGGCTGCACGTTTCTGCGAGTGTGTCTTCGGGGACGAGGTATTACTCCTCACAGTGAAGCCAACAGGAGACATTTTTAACAGCCGGGTAGCACACAAAGACCAAGAAACACTCTGCTCTAGCACGGTAAAACACAGCGTACGTAATATGGTTACTTTAGCTGCTCAAATGGCATAAATGTCAGACTATCTCTAATTACTTCTACCAGGATATGTGTGGATTTGATGTTAGCACTGTATAACAAAGTTAGCTCAGCAGAGGGAGAGGAGAAAATTGTCTAAATAATTTAGATGGGATGGACCGGGAAAAGAGATAAGAGTTGTGTGATAAAGATGGACAGAGTCTGAAGAACTGGGGAACTACCAGAAAAGGGAAAATGAAGGGGTGCTTTAGGAGTGTATAAATAGGAAAAGGGGCAGCGAGGCTGAGGAAAAAGACAGCAAGGAAACAAAGAGCTGGAGATAAAGAGCAGTAATAAATTGAAAGAAGAGTGTTGGGAGGTACAATTTAGAGACACATGGAGAGAAAACGAAGTGGTTGCTGATTAAGGAGTGAGACTCATGGAGAGGACAATACGAGCGGAGAAAGACACACACAGAGAGGGGAAAGGCTTATGAGCGAAACACGCCGACCTGGGCTCTTGGTGCAATGCAGACAGCATTGCCATGGAAACGAATGGAGGGAAAGCGCAGACGAGGAGGAGGGGATTAAATAGGAAGGAAGGGATCACTGCTTCGCACCATGAGGGAATGGGGGCTGTTTGGATGAGTGGAGAGGGGGGCCGGCTGACAAATGAGTAACAAGTGTGGATATGAAGTTAAATGAATAGCTGCTTGATAGTTCAAAGATGGCTTTTTAGCGGAGAAATCCCATTCTTATTTTGACAGATTCATTATAGACACATTTGACCGTCATGATACTTCATATCATCAACGCACACGCTTGTAACCCAGTTATACTTAAATGATAATTTTAAATGCTATTTTCTTGACCAGCATGGTTCAATTATGAGCAAGGCGGAGTTCAGGTTACTGCTGCAGTGATTGTGTCAGCCCGTGTTTCAGTCCAAAGTGCGGGAGTTTCGCTGAAATGTCGATACATTCATAAAAAAAAAAAGCGATGGGGGATGAGCCTGTCGCCATGGCGCCAGTTGTCTCAGGTGGCATTGTCTGGGTCCAGATCCGAGGGCGGGGGGTTGTCATGGCAGCAGGAATGCATGGAGTTTGTCTGGTTGTGATGCTGCACACAAACACACACACACACACACACACGCTGTCTGCTGGAAATATTCTTGACTACAGGATTATAAATAGAAGTCAGCAGAAGGCAGCACCCCTATCCTCATCTCCAACACCCATGGCACCCCATCATTCTCATCTTCCTCTTCACCCATTCACCCCCCACCCCCACCCCACAAAGTCTCATCAAGTGGCTTTGTTGATGTGGGGTGTCTGCGCTTGTCACGGCGAGGATGTTTAATGAGCTTGGAGTTGCTCAGGTTAATGGCAACTGGCAACAATGGGCAACCTCTTGTTAAAAGTCCCCTTTGGTGACTTCACTGCACCATTCAACTATCTGGGCTCCTATAGAGCATACGAGTTTATACAGCTACCACAACTGCAGTCATAATGAGCTGCACGGCTGCAGCCCTAAACCAGAGTTTGAACCTGTTGTTGTTGCTTTGTTAACCAGTGGAGTTACCTCCACTTAGACTATTTGAAGGGGGAAACTTGGATATATCTGCAAAAGGTTTAAGATGTTTTCAGGAATTTAAATCCCTAATGTGGGATTAAAAAAAAGTCTGCTGGTCTTGAAAGCCCCTGTCAAAGGGAAGTCCCACAAATTAGTCAGAGACTTTGTAGAACTCTTTATAAACTAAGCTCTGCCAACACAAGCACTCTCAGCAGCTTTCTCATCCTCTTGACTGACTAAACTGTCAGACAGCTCACGTGCAGACACACACGTGTGTGTGTGTGTGTGTGTGTGTGTGTGTGTGTGTGAGTGAGTGTAAATGTTGCACAGAGTTGTGAATGTACAGACACTGCTGTCTAGTGTCAGAGCGTGATATTTGTGTGTGCATGTGTCTCCATAGATTATTGTGCTACATAGCTTTGGGAGTTTTTATGTTGCTTTATTGTTTACAGTCATGGACCTCAGGGAGAATTAAAATGTATCACCTTCCTCCCTTCTACTACCAGCTTCTGGCCTTTAATGTTTTAATATAAACTAAGAAAAGCAACAATTAATTAAAATGAACACTTAATCGTCTTCTGTCATACATAATCAGTGCACATGAGGATCAATTTCTTTGTCTATAAAATGTCAGGAAGTCCAACGTCATGTCTTCAAATCTTTCTTAAACCCTAAAATATTCAATTTAGTATCATATATGACAGAGAAAAAAAGCAAAAATCTGAGAATATTTGCCATTTTTGCCCACAAAATTACTTAAAGAATTACTCTATTTTCAAAATGGTTACTGATTAATTTTCTGTCAATCAACTAACTGATTCACTGAGTTCTTCAGATCTAGTATTTATCTATTTGTGTATGCGTTTTTGTCCCCCCAAGTGCACTGGTGAGATGTTAGGCTGCATTGCCTCTTTGGACCCTGAGATGTTGTGAGAAGGATAGCAAGACAAAGATGGGAGTGACAGAAGGGATAAGGGAAGGGTTGTCGGCTGAGACTGCACGAGTACACAACATCCCATGTCATATCCTGAGCTCAAATCACTTTGACTGTGCCCTACCACTTTGAACTCAGTATCTTGAGTCAAGAGATACGGTGTGTCATTACAGGGGATGATGCCCTGAAAGCTTCCTGTGGGGTTAGCAGTTCTCCAGTTAGCTCCCGTTCTCCTAGTGTCAGCAGAGCTGTAAAGCCTAAATACCTTTCCCTCCCTCCCTCCCGCCCTCTCAGCTCAGCCTCCCGACTTTCTTTATTCCCCGCCTCTCACATTCCTTAAGCTGGCATTTTGTGTGTGTTTCTGCCTCACAAGTCAGGCTCAGGAGTCCCTCTAAAAGCTTATTGCCCCCTACTCACAGCAGCCATTGGCTTTGTGTGTTTAAAAGGGGCCGTAGTAATACCTGTGAAGTGGAGGATTTTTTTTCCAATAATGCAGGGACATCCCAGTGGAAATAAGGTGGTATTGCCTTCTTGCCGGAGTGAACTTGCTTCAAAATAAATAGTGGAGAGATGGGTGTTCTCAAGGCCAACCTGAATATTTCCTTATTTCTTGTGAGCAGTTATAAAAAGCAGCCCAGCTCAAAGACATAAAAAGGTTTGACAGAAACATCCATCCATTGTCTGTTTCACATGGTTCTATATGAACTTGGTAACTATGAGAGCTTATACTGTATAAATATTGCCTGAGGAAACCTCTACTCTTAACATCAAGATATGTAGGGGTTCAGATATTTTCACAACACCTATTTGTACGTAAATTTAAACTTCCTCTGATTATTTTACTCTGTGGATTATACTGCTGAAATAAGGGCACCTCTGACCTCTGTGTTTGTTTGTTTTTTTCAGACGGCGGGACGAAGAAGCTTCGCAGCACCATCCGACGGAGCACAGAGACCGGCATCGCCGTTGAAATGAGGAACCGGGTGACACGGCAGGGCAGCAAGGAGTCAACTGACGGCAGCACCAACTCAAACAGCTCTGATGGAACGTGAGTATCCAACCAGCAGTTCATCCATCTATCCATTTATCCATATACAGTATCCATCTATCATTGTTCTGTTTCCTCTGTCTCAGGTTTGTCTTCCCTACTACACGCCTGGGGCCTGAGAGCCAGTTCAGCGACTTTCTGGATGGACTAGGCCCTGCTCAGATCGTTGGCCGGCAAACACTAGCAACACCCTCCATGGGTAAGCCAAGTAGGAAGAAGACCAACATCTTTTCCTCTTAAATCCATCTCATTTTCATCTACTGTTATTTGCAGTTGATTGAAAACTAAGCGGTTATGGTTCCGATTTAAAATTTTTATTTGATAGCACTTTGCACTCATGTAGGAGCAGGACTTAGGTCTGTTAAACAATGGCAAAACAACATATTAAATATCATCCATTTTAATTCATTAGCGACCAGATCATGGAAATCTACAGCCACATACCAACGTACAGACTGTTAGACGCACAGCGGCATCTAAAAATACTGCACAATACTAGTGTGTTCACTTGGCACAGATGATGTTATTCTTGCATGAGATATAAATCTTTCATGCAAAGGTCATTGCTTGTGAAAAACAGAACATAGCACTGTACTCCACCATACCTGCTTGTGAAGACACATTCACAGCTCGGTGTCGCCCTCTGCAGTTAGATGTTGGACACAGCAACCTCAGGGAACCAAAGCCTAAAGCAAAATATGGTTAACTGACCACCACAGTGTTTGAAGATTTTAGTTCTAATTATATAGAATTTGATTGGATTTTTAGAAATGGTGTGGGTTTTTTTTTGCTCTACAGGGGATGTCCATGTAGGCATGGTAGACAGAGGAGGGCAGTTGGAGGTGGAGGTCAACCAGGCCAGAGGGTTGACCCCCAAACCGGGCTCCAAGAACATACCAGGTACTCAGAACTGACTGAACATGCTACATTGAAATTCTGTTGCCTTGGCTCCTTTGTCCAATCTGTGATTTGTTTCTTTGTCCGCAGCGACGTACGTGAAGGTGTATGTCCTGGAGAATGGTGTGTGCTTGGCCAAGAAGAAAACCAAAGTAGTGAAGAAGAATCTGGACCCCACCTACCAGCAGGCTTTGTTGTTTGATGAAAGTCCTCAGGGCAAAGTCCTACAGGTATGTGATTTCTTTGCTTTCCTCCCTTTCTAACTTTCCTTTTTCCCACTTTTTACAATTTTTTTTTTATTCCAAAGTGATCATTTCCACAACCAATACACAAATGTAACAAAAAACGTCCACCCTAAAGTATGTTATCTCACCTGTTTCAGCCCCATTGAGAGAATCCTGTCAAAAGCAAAGTGACTTAGCTGAAGAATTTTCTTTTAGTCTAATTACATTTTCTTGTAGCAGGGTCATGTGCCTTATTCTTCTTTGTTTCAAGATACTGACCTTATTTCCAGACATGCGTGAAAACGTGCTCCATTACATGACTTTGGCAATTCCATCAGTGCATTTGAAAAAAGATAGGTAGGTTTTAAATGACTTAAATGGGATCTATGATCACATTTTAATGGAAGACATTTTTATATTTTCCCCCGAGAACCAGAATAAAAACTGTTGGATTTTAAAGCCCCTGAAACCTTGATATAAATTTTTCAGTATATATTAAGTATTAATCTGTATCATTAAAGATTTGTGACTTTATGTAGTTTATATTAATACTTTATTGCTAAAAAGAGTTGTTGTGGTCTGTATGGATTTGATTGATATTAACCAAACAACCAACCAACCGTCATCTACAGTGATGTCATGTACTACTGTGGCATATCTTAGTTTGATATGTATAATTTATTCTAATCTCTCCTTTAGGTAATAGTGTGGGGGGATTACGGGCGTATGGACCACAAGTGCTTCATGGGAATGGCCCAGATCCTTCTGGAGGACTTGGATCTGTCTGCCACAGTCAGCGGCTGGTACAAGCTGTTCCCTACCTCCTCTCTGGCAGATCCCAGCATCGGACCCCTCACCAGACGCCTCTCCCAGTCCTCCCTGGAAAGCGCCACCAGCCCCTCGTGCACCTAGACACCCAGTAGACACCCACATGCACGTTCACAGGCAGAGTCATGCAGACATGGACACACGTACTGTATATACACAACGACTGTATTTGAAGTGCAAGACAGGTAGACATACACACACACACATACCCATCTGGGCAGGAATATGCATTTGACATGTAGGTATAAATACCTGATCTCATCCACATGACAACACGTACTGACACGCTGCCACATCCTTTACTGGACATTACACACTGCGTCCACAGTCACACCCATTGATCAGTGTTTTTAGTTGAGAAAACGCATAGCAGATCCAACCTGAAGTAGATATAATTTACCAGAACATGTAGCATTTTTCAACCTCCCACTTCAACATTTCCCACCATGACACAGCGATCCACTGGGTGCCATATTCTGCGTTCCAAGATACCAGATTTCTGTGGCACGACTCATCCCAGGGCCATCCCAATGCCAGTTTCTAAACTCTCTATGCCAAACTAAGAAAAAAAAACTTTATTTTTTAAAACCAAAGCAATTGTTATTGTTGTTATTATTACTATAAGTAGTAGGTGAGCTAGTATACAATATAAAGTATGGATATGTAGCAGAGTCAATGACTTAGATGTAATGCAAAAAATGAAGATACATTCTACACACATGAGCTGAGAATGGTAGGCCAGACACATAAACATACCTGGGCAACAGGCTTAAATATTCACATAATGGCTATTATGTGAGGTAGCAACACTGCTATTCTTATAATTTTCATAGGGCAGAGTTTATATATAGATATACATATATATATAAATAGATATAATACTTATTTGTGTTAACGTATGTATCGGTTGCATTCTGCATGTTTGCTTGCAACCCTTTGTAGAGACATTTAAAAGAGCTTAAATCCTTTTATTTAGCTTGCCTTGACCAATGTAACAGGAGTATAGTGCCACTTGATTTTGCAGTCCGTCCTGAGAAAAGAGCATGGCGCTGAGTTGGGGAGAAGGATTGGGGCTTTGGTGACAGGGAGAGCATGCTTTCGTCGCCACCTGCAGAAGAAGAGAACAAACTGGTCAGCCAGCTACCCATTCGCTGATTTCTGATCTTGCCTTCATCTTTAGAGTTAAGAGGGCTGTTGTACCGCACAGGGCACTCAGCAACGAGGCTTTGTGGGAAATGTGTCCAGCTCTGTGTGTCTGGGGTTCTTGTGTTGCACATCCAGTGGGTGCCACGGTCTCACTCTCTGTCCGTATACCAGCACCCAGACTTGTTTGAACTTCCTGTCGATTTTCCCCATTTTGATGTCATCTGTTTTTGTCACGCTCTTCCTCGTTCATGATGGAGGGAGGAAAGTGTCAAGCGTGCCTCTGTCGCCCTCTCCACGTCTGGTCAGGTCTCAGCCAAACACGCACACAGCCGGTACCAACCACAACCCTCCTACTTTCTCTTTGGTCACTCTTCTCTGTCACACTGACTGTAATTAAACCTGTTGTCAATGTGTTCAAGTTTTTCTTTTTGATATCTGACTATTTATGCCAGTATTACTTTGCTCGCAGGGTGATAGTTAACCTGCCATGTATAGTTGTTTTACTTCTTTCAGGTGCAATATGTTACTCTATTTCCTTTCAGGCAGCGTATTTATATTTAAGATGGCACTTTAATGTAAAATATGTATTATGTTTGAATTACAAACAAAGAAGTGGTTAACCACCTGTTTATTTATTTAGATTTTATTTGGTCACGCTGCAGTGTTCACCTCTGAATCTTTGAATTGAATGCCAGCACGGAAATGTAACTGGAGTGTATTTTGAAAATCAGTGTAAAGGCCCACTCAGGCAGCTGGAACAGGTCAGTTTGGCCTCAGATTTTAGACTTTAACCTCATATGTTTGCAAAAAACGTCATCACTGGGTTATTCAAAAACAGTAGGTATATTTACATATATTACATCTTAAAAAATGTTTGTCTTTAAAGATGAAAGACATGGGTCCCAAAATTTACCAGATGTTTTTAGTTTATGCCTTTAGCTTTCTCACCTAACCCCGCCAGCAACCAACCCCACTTTGTTCTAATTATTTGAAGAATTTTATTTGCATTTGAACACGCAAACAAGGTGATAGTGACCTGTCTTCACTGATGGCAGAGGAGCAGCAGGGCAAACTGAGCGACATGTGTTTGCTTTTTTCTTTAAGATGAAGATGTCATCTTTCACCTTCTGTGTTTTGAATCTGTCGGTCTTGAGACCAGCACCAAACTTTGTGTATGTATAATGACACTAAAGACTGTCGTATTTTAGTAGTGCAAGAGTGTAAAAGCTTGTGCGTGTTTATGAGCTCACATTTGTTTTATCGCCACCGTATGTTATCATCTGCTAAGAACTGTGTAGCTTATTCCTCTCTTCATCTATCCACAAAAAGGGAAACTCTGAGGCACTTTTGTCTTCTTGGCACCTCAGACCATTTTAACACTCGTTGAACTTAGGATAAAGGGATCTCTGGCATTCTTGAATTTTTGGGAGGAGTATAATTGGTGGTATGATGGTGTTTTTTTTGACCCTCCCATCATGTATACAATCCTTTTTAGAAGAACCACCAAGGTCTGGGTTCCAATTTCTTTCTACATTTTGGAACTATTCCTTGCTCGATCTGTAACCGTATGGTCATGTATATGAAGTAATTTTATGTACCTTTATTAATTTTCTATCTGTCTATTTTTGTGGACAGCTGGCATGATGTTGGTATTTGCACACATTCTCTTCAGTGTGCGCCTTTTGTGAAGACAAAAAAAAGCTTGGTTGACGGGAGAGAAATTAAATGGAAAGAAAAATTGAAAGAAAGGTTGAATATTGAGAAATGGCTTGTATGACTTCCCTGCTGAATGTTTAGTCCTTGGTAAACTCCTAATGTTAATATGTTTCCATGTGATTACCAATTTTTGGAGCTAATGTGAGACTGTATCTGTCCCTTTGCTGTGTATTGAGTAGCCCTAAACATTCTAATGAAAGCAGAGACAGAGACAGTGCCATGAGAAGTAAAAATGATCCTATAACAAGTTTTTATTGTTGTTTATTGAGAGCAGATAGCAGTTGACAAATTTAGATTTTTTGAAGGACAGCTCAAATATTGCCTTTCTTCAAAACGTAGTGAGGGTGTATGTATTTTAATGAGGTGCATTCTTGTCTAGGAGAGGCACGGCAGCAAAATGTGAGTGAGAGAGATTTAAATGTATAGATATTTATTTACAAAGCCACTTGTTTACAAAGCCACTTGTTACTCAAGTTGTACTTCACAGTGAAGAGAATTTAAGGATCAGTGTCTTCAGATATGAACAGTAACACCTTTTTCCCTCTACATGACATTTACCATAGATTAGAAAGAATTTATTGAAGTCTTGCATTGTCTCATCACATGGCCATTTTTTTTTTTTGACACCGACCCTACCGTTTTCAGTGAGTTGAAAAAGATGAGATGTTGAAGCCTCACAAACAGCAGGGGCAGAGTTACAGCAGGTTTTCAGAGAGTTTTTATGGTTGTGTGAAGCTTAGCGATGCTTAGACTTTTGTCATTGTAAAAGGTAGATGCATGCAAGGGGATCGCTAAATTGTTGGATTTATCAAAGTATCAATTAAAGACACAGCACGGAGCATGTAGAGCTTGGGAAACAGTGTTTCAGAGTGGTGAAGATAGTATTAGCTCGAGTTAGACAGTATCTCAACGTGGCTCAGCTGAGTTTTGAATGTAAAGGCAGTGCTGCACTTGCTCGCTTCCCTGTGAAATTCCACATTGAGCGTTCCCAAACTCACTTTTATTGTGTGAAAAACTTTTATAATGTATCGTCAATCAACCTGAATCCGAAGCGTCTTTTGAGTGCTATGTTGAAGATGTATTTTATTTTTGTAAGGAGAGACTGTTGTTCTGAGAAGGAGAAGAAAGAGTTAGAGAGGCGGCGTGGGCAAAACCCACCTTTAGATTTTCGCGAAAATGAGGGCTTGTTCTGTTAACAATGGCCTTATTTTGTGTAGGGGACATTGCTTCACTATTGTAGCACACAACTGAAAGTTTTGACAAACGTATTTTGCTTGAAATATTGTACCGAAGTTATATATGTGTATATTTATAGTTTTATGAATGTATTTCTTAATCCTTACACCAGAGCCAGAGTATAATTCTTTGTCATCTTGTTTGCTATACTGTCTCTTTGAAGACTTTCCAGGGACCTCGCCTGCACTGGTTCAGGCAGCCCCTACGTTTACTGTACTGTATATCTTGTTTCTGTGTGTGTGTTCCTTTAAAAGAGCAGCTCTGCGGTTAAAATGAGCATGAACTCTGTCCGGCGAAATGCATTTTGATTTATTTAATTCGCCACGATGGGTTTCAAACAGAAAGGATTGCCCCTCCCCGATTAACTTATTGATTTATCTATCAAGCTAATGGAATTGTTATGATTTTTGTATTTTGAACTAGAAAATGTTTGCCGCATGGTTACTCTGATGATTTTCTTGTATTTAATCTTTATGATGGTACTCTTAGGATGATAATAATTGTGATAATGGTGACAAGTGATGAGGAAGTCAATTAGACCCAGTACAATATCAAAGGGAATTCATAGAGAGGCAAATGAATTGTCAAAAATGCTGTATCTTAAAGTAGCATGGACTTAGCCTTCCAGTTTCCGATATACTTCTGGCAATAACCATAGACTGTTGCGGGGCCTTCACTTTTGGCCTTGGCCTCTTCTACTCATTACAATTGGGTCATGGCAACCTCAGGCTCAATCTGTATCAGCTGACCATGATGACAAATAGAAGTCGAATCACTTTTTCAAGCACTAGAAGCAATTTTGACTCAACAGAGGATGCAATGCATTTTGAATAACTGCTTTTTTATGATAGCCCCCATGAGCAACACAGAGTTTTGTTTTATTTTCATTTTCTAATGACGCATGCATTCCATATGTCTGTTTGCCAAAGTAGCAGCTGTCAACGAGTTTTTGCTGCTGAATATGCCAGTTTGTCTTCATCCACGTATATAAATGTTTGTAATCACAGCACAAGTTTCCTGAGTAGCCATTCTGTCCTTTTAGCTGTCTGTCAGACTATATTAAGGCCACTGTAGCTCCCCTCCCCACTGTCAAGACAACCTTCATCTTGTCAAGCCCAGCAAAGCACAAACTTCACGAATACAAACTGAACTAATGTCTTATTTTGGTACCTCAAAATAAAGTACGTCTTTATGGGTAAGATTCTGATTATATTAAATGACATTCCCAAGCACATATGGCAGATTGACATCTTGGAATCAAATGTAAACACGGATGGGAGCATCAAAACATGCAGCCCAGGTAAATTGGATTGCTGGTGTTGGTAGATAAGTTGCTGTCTTTCCTCAACCGGCCTTAACCTTTCCACCGAGGAGTGTTCACAGAGTACGTTTTAAAGGGCAAAGCATGGCAGACCGTTTGATGAAAGGAAAGCGGTATATGGCAAAGAAGAAAAAGGGAGCTGTAATTTTATACCTGTGCTTTGTAAATGTTTTCTATGTGCAGTATTTGATAATGTAAAACTGGTATTTTTGTGGTTTGTACGCTGCAGAATTGATTACTTAAGGTGCACGTAGTTTTGTAAGAAAATAGAACCAAACTGAGGAAAAAAACTGTTTGGGATTCAGAAGCCTGTATTTGCATGCCCTTGGACATCTGGACGCAAAGTCAATAAAGTTTATTTGAATCACAAACATTTGTCAGCTGTGTATTTTAAACTTTTTCAATCCCACTCAATAACAGATTTCATGGCCACATGGGGGCAGCAAAAATAAGCTGTAAACACAACACTGACATATTTTTACCTTTAAAGTTGATATGGTGAACTTGTTACTTATTAACACGTCCAGCAGATACAAAGTCGCATTAGCATTTATTTAGAGTTATGTTTTTGGCCACTTGTCTAGTGTCACTGTTTTGGCCTCCACAAACTCTTAAATCCTACATTATGTTCAGCAGCTTGTCTTTTAACTGTGTCTGTAGTGTACAGTGTGTTAGAGCAGCTGCCTACTGTGGCCGGAAATGACACTTTGAGAGTCATGAGAGTAAACCAGAATATTAAAATTGTGGGCTGTAAATCAAAATCAAAGACCTGAAAGATTCTATAAAGGTTTGTAAAGCTGTGAGGAACTGCAGGGTGATAATTCTCTGTTGGTTCATAAGTAGGAGAGACTCTCATTATACATAGTTATTTATACATACATTAATTGATATTATAAAATTGTTTATTACAGCCACTTTATATCACCTTCAAATATAGATGTTTTGCACATTTTGCTTTTTTAGAATACCTAGGCTCATTTTAAAATGAACAAACACTTGTATTAATAGTCTCATCCAAGATTTGCGATAGACTACATATACAGTATGTAGAATCAAAGTTTGTCTAGGGAACATTAATTACAATATGACAAATATGATTGATCAACACAGAACAGTCCAACTATTCAGGGAAATATTGGAGTTTTTTGGCGCAATTAACAGTAAATATGGGCTTACTAAAGCATGATCGCCATTAAATAGCACAAACATGCTGCTATGGTTAATAGTGTACATTTGTGAGTAGGCACATTTCAAATCATTATAACATACAGAATTTAATCAAAACAATATTTATTTTGTATATTTTCACAGACAAGTATTTTATGTTACATACATATTCTCAAATTTAAGTGACTAACTTGTGGGAACATGAAATCAAAAGTGGCAAAGCATGTGAGAAAATGCCAAACTGATATACAATACATGTTCAATCATGTTTAAGAAACATAACACACAGAGATATTTTGACAAAGAATAAAGTACACAATATCTTGATCGACAAGTACATAAAAAGATACATTCCTTCATTTGCTCTTTATTTCACAGAAAGTATACCAGACGAAAAAAGGAACCGATTACAAGGAACCTAAAGATAATCACAGATGAAAAAGCTCAGGTAAAGCCCGGTTGAGATTGTAACTGATTTTCCAGATACTTCTCATCGCGAGCTGACAGATCTGCTGTTACAGCGCAGAGATGGAGATTTTGCTCAGAGAAGGTGAATGCCTCTGTCACACTGTTGTCTCAGCTCTCTGAGCTAAAATGGAAAAAAAAAAATACCTGGAAGGAAAAGAGTTTCTCAGTTGTGAAGGATGTACTGCTTGTTTACTGGACGCAGTTAATAACAATTATGCTTTTTACATTCTTACCCCTCACATTCATAATGGCAACTTAACACCAAGGTGCTTCTACGAAAAAATGGCAAGATTGAGATTATTTACACTAATGGCTCCATGCATTTACAAGAACTGACCTATTTAGAAACACTTTCAGAGAAAGTGTGTTGCGGAGGTGTAGAAGGGTTAACTAAAACATTAAGAGGTGACAGATTGTGGTCGTACAATCACTTTTGCCTCACAATGCGGTATGTCCAAGTTGTAAACGTCCCAAAGTGACCTGAAAATGGTTCAGCCTGGTCAAAGTTTGTTCCTAATGTGACGGTAAAAAGAAAGAGAAAAGAAAATCTTGGTTGAATTTAACAATTTACCAAAAAAAACAACAATGACGCTGTTGACCACAGAACATTCAAAAGACAGAAGTGTACAGTGCTTGACAGAGTCATAGAATATCAAAAACAAACACACCCCAGCAGTGCTCAGGTGTGTGTATTCAAAACAAGTCCAGTACAATCGTGAACACATTCAGAACACACATTCATTAAGAGTTTTTGTTGGTTTTGGTCAAAAACCGACTGACATGTAGAGAGAAACATTCAGAGATACACATTTAAGAGACATATTCGGATATCTTAATAAACATAAACATACAATCAGAGCTAGAAAAACATTCTCCTCATGCAATTCAGTGGAAGAATCTGAAACATGACTAATCTGTACCTTAAAGTCTTCTCTGCCCCACTTCTCTCTCTCTGTCTCTCTCTCTGTTTTTACTGACATTCAACATTATTTGAGGCCTCTATTGTATATGGTAGATTTACTTGAGGTGTGTGAGCATTAACTCAGCATTTACACAATGACATTGCATGCAAGTGACTTTTTAAGTGTCCCACCGTTGCAGAGGAAATAGCACAGTGAATAGATATGCCCAAGCTTTCATCACGTAAGATCAGGTATGACTAAACTGTTTAAGGACTGGTTTTCTACTAATCACTAGTTACGTGGCTATACAGATTAAACAAAGCGTTGGATTACTGTGCAACCATAATAAAGCTAGCATTGATCTTTGGTCTCCCAAAATCCAGTTTAGGACTTTTGATACTAAAAGTAGAGATTAGATATTGATTCTAAAAGAAGCCCTCTGTAAATTGAGTAGAAGACATCATGTTTAAGGATTGTTTAGGTAGGTTTTGTAGCTGCTCTAACTTGTAACAGTAAGGATCTAGGAACTTATCAGAATGTAAAGGGATTTCTTACATTTTAACATTGTTGGACGGGTAGGATAACTTAAGTATTTAGAAAGGAACACATTGTTTTTTGTAAGATTTTACAAATGTTTCACACTTACACAGAGCCAGACAAATGAATGTATATCTTTCCCCCTTTGTGCAGCTTAAAGGCTAGCCTAACCTAACCTAGCTGGATTCTCCAATCATTTCTAAAATGATATGTTATCTAAAACGTCTAAAGTATCAAACTCCTAACCCTGTGTGCTTGAAAGCTGGCTGGAAAAACATTTGTAGTTGCTCCTTAACAATGGTTGCAGCTAAATATAGGCTAATTGTCATTTCTGTTAAGAAACATTCTTAATGCTGGGTTAAAAGAATTATATTTCAATTTCAATATTTGACATAAACATACTTATTCACTTTTTGGCCAAGCGTTAGATAAGAAGATCGATACCACTCTCAAGTCTGTATAGTACAAATGAAGCTACCTGTCAGTAGACAGTTAGCTTAGCACAACCACAGGGAACAGGAGAAACAGCTAGCCTGGTATCAAAGGTATCAAAATCCGCCTATCAGTACATCTAAAGCTTACTAATTAACACGTTATATCTCATTTCTTTAATCTATACAAACAGCAAGACCCCAGGAAGTTACTCTACTTCATCTAGTAAAAAGATAGTTGCCACAAGAATCCACAATCCGTCATTTTTACACTTTGTATGGATTAAACAAACAAGTTATAGAGTAAGTGAGCTTTAGAGGTGCTGGTAGATGGATTGTGATACCTTTGGACAGAGCCAAGCTAGTTATTTCCCCTGTTTCCAGTCTTTAAGCTAAGCTAATATAATGTGCGGAAGGCAGTAGCTTCATATTTGGCTTACAGACATAAGAGTGGCATTAATCTTCAAACTCTCTTCAAGAAAAGGTGTACTTTCCAAAAGATCAATCTATCTAACAAATGAAAACATTTTAAACCCTCAACCTTGCAAGAAGGTGTGCTTCCCTCCTTTAAGGGGAAATGTGTCTTGTTCCAATAAACATTCAAGCACATCAATTGAGTTATTCTGATTCTGATCAAGTAAGAAAAACTGTAAAATTCTCCAATAGCCAAACTGCTCTTTTAAGTCAAGCAGGTAGTTGACACCCGCATACAACAGATGTGTGCGCACACACTCTCACATAAAAGTTGGGTCCAAAGAAAGATGTGTAGTCCTAATCAGTGAATCTCTGAACCCTGTTGTATTCTTCGTTGAACGACAATGTTCTGAAGGCAAGCATGGAATTATGCAAAACATGGCAATGGATGAGACGAGAAGAGGAAGCGTGGGGAGAGAGGAGAGAGAAAGAGAGGTAGTGGTTTCCCAAACCATATTCTTCTTCACACCTGTCCCCTCCTCCTCCTCTTACTCCTCTTCCCTTGCATTAGAAAATGTCTCATGGAGAGTCTAATCCACAGATTCCTACAACTGGAGTTTCCTCTCTTTTGTGGGTTACTGGCCTTACGTCACTTCTTGGATCATCATTTCCAAATGTGTGCCGCCATGTGCGCTGAGCCCGGAGTTGTCGAGTCTCCCATGTGTTGACTGCTGTATCCCATCATGCCGTTGGTGTTGTAGAGATTCATGCCGGCCATGTGCTGAGTCATCTGAAAGCCACGAAACACACTCTTATTAACAGCCATTGTACTACTCTGTCATACACTGTATTCATATGTTCCAACACACACACACACACACACACACACACACACACACACACACACACACACACACACCTGGGTAATGTTCCACTGTAGCTGCTGGGCTTGATGCACTCCATACACCTGCTGTTGAGGTATTGTGGCCAGTCCTTGAACCTGCTGCTGTCCCATCATCCCACTTTGCTGCTGTCCCATCATCCCACTCTGCTGCTGTCCCATCATCCCACTCTGCTGCTGTCCCATCATCCCACTCTGCTGCTGTCCCATCATGCCCTGGGTCATCCCCGTCATGTAGGTTGACGCCATAACGCCACTAGGCTGAGCCATGACACCCTGGCCACCTATTAAGCCATTCTGCTGTCCCATCATGCCGTTCTGTTGAACTCCAATCATGCCGCTCTGTTGCTGTCCCATCATGGCCATCTGTGATGACATCATGGCGCCTCCCATTCCACCTGCCTGGGCTAAAGAATGGTATGAACCATATGGGTGTGTCGGGTATCCCATTTGGTTCATGTACAGGCCTGCGGAAAATAATCACAGATAGAAAGCGTCCATTTTGGCAATCGATAAGCAATTCAATAAAGACTTCAGAGAGTAAACAAAGG